CGAGATATGAAGAAAAAAAACTGAATTCAGAATCTCACTTCTCCTTCACTTTGAAAACACAAATAAACCGAGAATCTGTCTTTTGGAAACTGGTTAACAAAAGAATCATTTCAGTTTTATCCCATGGCAATAAAACACCAGATATGATAAAATGAAAAACAATAAATTGCCCACGACACGAGTAAAAACCATAACATGATGGCTTTATGTTTATGACAGCGCAAGGGTGATGAACACACCCTTATTTCACATCCACGAATATAGGTTTTTTCTTTTTTTATACAACTTAGAATGGCAAACAAGCTGACGGCCCACCTGATGGAAAGTGGTAACCGTCGCCTATAGACATGAGCAGTACCATGGACATAACAGAGTATACTGTTTCGCCCGTGATACCCTCATGCGTTGCCATTCCTGAGTACTCAGGTGTTATTCCTTTGTACACTGTAAATTCACTGCCATATGTGGAATATGGCAGTGAATTCAAACGGAAACACAGCGATGAAAACACAACTGCTTTACGGTAGAAACACGAGACAGAGGTGGCCAAGCAAACGATTTTTATACGAAATCTGGTGTTCAGCGAAATATATAGTTTACTTTGTAAGGAGATATTTAGAAGCGGGGAAACAGCGAGCTGTGGGCGGGCCGGTGTGAGGCTGCACGTTGCAAGTCGTCTCCGAGGGAGAAAGTGATATTTATTGCATTTATATATGTACTAGTCTCTATTAGCGACTGTTTAATAGTTAAAATAGGTATGTAGGTCGGTTTAGTTTTTAAAAGGGGTTTTTAAAGGCTAAAAGTGGAATAGTAACTCCGCCTGCGCTATCGGTATACGCTGACGGGGCACCAGTGAGAGAGAGTATCGGTTCGGAAATACTGCTGCTGGAAGATGATTTCAAAGAGTGGTTGTGCGTGGAAGATATTGCCAGGAAAATCACATGGTGGAAGACCGCCACTTGTCCATATTTATGCAAATAAATTATTATTCTATTCCATTCTATTCTGTCTCCATACAAATGCTTCGAAAAAAGATGGTCAACTTTTTCATACAATTTTGCGTGATAATTAGTTATTAGTATTTCCTTTATAATTTCTATATTTATTTTGTTTTACCATTTTTGCGTTTTTTAATGCATAAAGATTCATTTTATTTATTAAATAATTAAATATAGATACGTCAAGATACATTGTATGCGTAAGTATATAGAACACAGGTAAACAACGAGACAGCAAATTTGACAATTAGTCGACAAAAAGTTAACCTGTTTTTGAGACTCGATGCTTTATCTATATAATCTAAGATAAAGGATATTTTATAAGCGTACAAAATGTCCCTGGTCTGTGTGGAGGCTATAAAAATGATCGTAAACTGTTTCTATTAAAATTACAGTGTTATTATTAATCTTATTAGGAAATTGCGACCCGCGCGAACTTCGCACAGATTTTTTTTTAATAAAATACAGCCCAAATTTTTCGCAGATAGCGTAGCTTTTTACTGGTGAGAGAATTACTTATTAAAATAGAAAAGAAGGTTAATTTAATTATTTTTTTTAATTTATTTAATTAAATAATTTTTTTTATTTAGTTTAGCTATTCTTTATTAACTACATTACATAATATGTTTGGTACAAATGGTGTACTTAATACTATACATACAGCCTTGTCTCCCAGTCAACGTTCGGAAAAATAGAAATGTAATTAAGAATGGAAATTAATATTATATAATAGAAGAAAGATCTTTTTTCGTCTTATACTTTGCAGTAATATGAAGTGAAAACAATTCAATTTTGTGATTAGGTATAAGTCCCGGGTGTCGCACCGATTTGGAGAAAAATATTTGACGTTTGGATAATAACAAAAAATCGCATATGGCAACCCTAGTAAAGAGCCGTTATTTAATTTTATGAAGACTGTAAAAATGTGATGATCAATTAATTAATTCAATGACAATTGAAAACAGTCTCTACAGGGCTAGTATCCAGGGCCGTAAAAGCCATTAATAATAAAAAAAGCCGTAAAACACATTAATAAAAAAGTACTACTGTATATCAGGCTGTATGTCTTAGTTCCTTTGCCTTTCCCATTGTGAATAAATTGGTACTACTACTTCTTAATAAAAAAAAGCTGAATTTTGTTTCACAAATAAAAACGACATCATAAATGTAGTGCTATAACAATATTACAAGTATTTCTTAAATAACATTTGTGTTTACATAATATTATGTGCTTTAAATCTTATTTTTATATTTATTTCAATTAATCATGATTTATTTCTAATAGGCGGGATCTCAGTGTCTAATACTGATACTCACGAACATACTCCCACATTTACCAGAGGGAGACTTTGTACAAAAGTCGATTGCTTGGCTACCTCTGTCCCATTCGTGTTTCTACCGTGAAGCAGTTGTGTTTGCATGGCTGTGTTTCGATTTGAAGGGTGGGATATGGCGTGAATATACTTGGTACAGAGGAATAACATCTGAGTCCTCAGTAATGGCAACGCATAGGGGGTATCATGTGCGAAACAGTATACTCTGTTATGTCCATGGTACTGCTCATGTCTATAGGCGACGGTTACCACTTTCCATCAGGTGGGCCGACAGATTGTTTGCCATTCTAAGTTGTATAAAAAACATACCCATATTAATTTACACAATTTCGCTTCTCTTAAGGACATATATTATTAATGCTTTATATTTGCTTGTATATTTATATTTGTTGATTTCACTAATGTTACAATTTTCCGTGATCGCCTGATCAGCAAATGATTATTATGCCAATTTTATATCCCATTTTCTATTTATATTAATACCCGCCCACTATGTACTTTTTATTATAACAGATTGTGAATTGTCAATCTTTGTCGGGCGCCCGCGATGCAGGCTCGCCTAGTGTGGGGCCCACTGTATCTTGCGTTTGTAACATTGTGTTTTTGTCAAATAATAAATTTTTATTTCTATACTAAAAGAATACAGACGAATCGAGAATCTACTCCCTTTGCTAATGGAGCAAACTTTCATCACGAACCGGCCGGCGTTGGTAAAGCGTAAAAAAATCAATATGTATTAAAATTCGACGCGGGAACCGAACCCGCGCTGATTTACGACCGCTCCGTGCCGCCGTGAATGCAACCGCCGATTTAAGGGACGTGATTGAAAAATCGCATTATGTATTAATGCGTTTGATATTTTTAACCGACTTTCGAAAAGAAAGGATTCCTAAATTATTCTCAGAAGCTGCTAGACCCGTATTTTTTTTAACGAGTGAATTTAGAATAGTATTGAATTAATCAAGATTATTTCCTGGGGGAACCGCGTGGAGGTCAACCTGATAGGGTATATTGCTAGCAATGGGGCTGCTAGTCCCCGTTATTAACAATCCCTTCTCCCGGATACTATAGGTGACTTTGAATTTAGATTAGGTGGTCCATCATGATGAATTCCAGAAGAATTAACCACTATGGCTTCTAAAGGAGATTTCGTGGAGGCCGACCGGACAGGATATTGTCTCCTTAATAGGCATATAGTTGTTTTTTTTGGCTGAAAATGGTATGGTAACCCCGCCTGCGCTAACGGGATACGCTGGCGGAGCACCAGTGAAGGGTGATAGATGAGAATGAAAACAGGCCAGTTAGCCCATCATGATGAATTCATCAGGAATTAACCATGATAGTTTCCAGGAAGAACCGCGAGCAGGTCGACCTGGTTGGGTATATTGCTAGCAATGGGATTCTCAGTCGCCATTACTAACAATCCCTTTCCCCCCAATAGGCATATGGTTAACGATCCGAAATCTATATATTGGATTCCTCTGGACTTTGATGATGGAAAAAAGGTCATCACCCATTTCGATGGTAGGTAACCTCGCCTGCGCCAAGTCGTCCTCCATGCAGGTCCCTCTAGACACCATGGTAGTTAATCTTCATAAATTCGTCACAATGATTTAATCGACCTTTTTTAATCTTCACATGTCATTGATGCGCCGGCAGCATTCACCAATAGCACAGGTTGAGTTACCAGTCCATGTTTATATCATTAAAAAAATCGCGTAATATATCCTCAAAAAGCATCTCGTTTTATATATAAATAACTAGTATAACATTAAATCGGCAACTCAGAAAATGTAACAAATCTTCAGCAATATTAACAAGTATAATTATTCAATAGAAGGTAAGAGAGAAGGAAGGAGGGGAAGAGGCAGACCAAGGCGTAGTTACTTCAGACAGATCAAGGAAGGAGTTGGTGTCGTGTCGTATCAAGAGGTGAAGAGACTCGCTGTAAATCGTAGTGAGTGGCAAGAGCTCCACCGACAAGAGTGCACCTCTTAAATAGAATAGATGGATAGATAGATAATGATTCAGTGACATGTTTATCTTTAAATAATGAAATATTATTCAATAATAAATAATAAAACAACTATTGGGAGTTACACTGTATTGTAATTATTTTGTAGAGCATTCTCGAAGTTAAAAAAGTGAATAAAGCCGGCGTGTATATTTATTTTTTAATATTTTTCACGTAGAAAGCTCTAGACATTTTGAAGCTCCTGTTTACAAATTCTACTTAATAAACGTCTTTAATTAAGCCATAATCTATAACTGAGAATTAAACACGATCGTTACGCAGCCGTAGCGCATTACGGCGCCGTCAACGAAGCCCTAAACCAATAAATACGGCAACCGCCGCGCCCGTTCATCAAGCTGACATTAACGCGTTCAAGCAATCAACTACACCTATAAACCATTACGGTAACATAAATAAACTCCTAAAACCCTACTTAGAATAAATAAATAACAGGAAAGCGTAAATTCAAAACAAAAACGACTAAATAAAATGCCGATTTCATATTGGTCAAAAAGCCGCATTAGGGTTTATTATTTCTTTTACTATTTAAAAAAAGAATGCAATTTTAGCAAATTAAATCACATTTTTTTTTAAGGACGGCTAAAGCGTCGATCGATAGCAAAAAAGGTGATATTTAAGAGGCAAAGGACATACCTTGAACATATGTAAACAAATGAATACTGGCCACCAAGAAAATCCAGTTTCCGATTCCAAAACGACACATCCCTGTCCGACACATGTTGCAATGCACTATAATCACACTACACCAGACGTTTTAATTCATTGAAATCACATTTTCACATAAAATTTACCGATAACAATGCAATAGTTTTACACTTTGGTAACGAAGCAACATTAACTATCCGCCATTTTTACAAGAACCGCTTCGTTCGGAAACCCAACTCAATAATGAAAGGGCAATGCCCGGGATAAAATGTAATGTGACATGAAGTAGCCGCGATCGAAACAATAAAATGAAATTAGCTATGAAACTAGTGTTGCGCTGTATTTAAGAGTCTGTAAAAGATCGATTATGTTTTGCGTTTAGTTCCAAATAGAAACAGAAATATCAACAACATTGGGTTTTAATTTCTAACAACTCTTTCTCGAAGTCAATACTTTTTAATAAGAGACGCTGATGTATTTTTTTTTTCAAGAAATAAATACAATTGAAGGTCAATTCCTAACATCTTTATTGGTGTAGAGAAAACACCAGACTTCAACTAACCGGAACAAATTATCAATCCAGGTCTTCTTACTCACCAAATAGTGTTGAGTCAGGTAAGGGTCTCGAGGCGAGCTCCACTACCACGGTTCCAACTCTGGAGGCCACAACCTCTGGGTTACTAAGTGTAAGCCGAATATGTACTGTCGGCGTAGCGTTATTGTGGTAGTAATGGTGTTGATATTGGGATTCTTTTCCCTATGTATATTTTTTTATAATAAATAATTTAATTATAATATATATTCTTTTTTATCTTCCTTCCTCTTTCTCGTCCCCAATATATATAATAGATGTTAGTACATATATACTTATAGTATATATATATATATATATATATATATATATATACTGTTAGAGGTTGTCAAAAGAAGTGTGGCGGCCTTCCCTCTGTTTAGGGGACATACATACACACAGTATGGACGGGAAAAAAAGGGAAAGATAGGGGGGAGAGATAGAGTATTTATTTTCTTATAAAAGACACACCAACAATATGCTCACAACAATTAAGCAGACAATGCACAATGTTATAAGTAAAAGAGAAAAACTATTATGGGGAAATAGCAATCGTCGTATCTGGACAAGAATTATCGCTCTTCGATCGTGCCTAGGAAATTCCTAAACGTGGAACGGCCGTCCGGCGGACGCGCATGCAACGTTGCTAGACCCCTGACATGGAGACGTGGCTCATGCGGCTCGCTGTTAGCACGAGTGAACATTTTGCACATTGTGCCTATGATGAACTCTTCAACCGTTGGGACTCTGTGGCCACGATGACATCGTTACAAACGTAACCACCCGTGCACCAACGGAGGACGACATATTGCTAGACTTGCATCCGGCGCCTCAGCGTCGGAGGTCAAATTTATAAATAAAATGTCTGCCAGACACGTCAGATTACGCCATGATCAGCAAGATAGCTAATCAAATTGATATTTCAAGGACACAAGATTTAAGGAGGTTGAAATGGCTCTCAAACAGCTTAAAAAGGGCCCAGGTGCCTGGGCAGGACGGAATTACAGCAGAGCTTCTGCGAGCGGATGGAGAATCGGTACTTGTAGTCCTTCAGAAGCGTGATTCATAACGGTATTATGCCAGAGGTGTGGAGCAGAAGTGCGGTAGTCCTGTTTTTTAAGAAGGGTGATATCACTCTATTGAAGAATTATAGACCGATATCCCTTCTGAATCGCGTATACATAGTGTTTTCAAGGGTCCTGACCAATCGTCTTACGCTCTCGCAAGCTGGCTTCCGAAAAGGCTTTAACACCATAGACCACATACATACGCTACGGCAGATTATACAGAAGACCGAAGAGTAGGTATAACGTGCCACTATGTTTGGCGTTTGTGGACTATGAGAAAGTCTTTGATTCGCTCGAGACATGGGCAGTACTATAGTTCCTCCAGTGGTGCCAGATTGACTATAGGAATATCGAAGTATTGAAGTGTATGTACAGTAAGGCTACGATGTGTATCTGAGTAGAACCGATAGAACCAGAGTACGAAATCCATTCCAGTGCAGTAAGATGTAAAACAGGGTGACGTCACATCCCCGAAATTCTTCACAGCTACATTGGAAGTGCATGTTTTCAAACTCTTGGACTGGAAAAGATATAGTATGAACATCAATGGCGAATACATCACTTATCTTTGATTTGCAGATGACATAGTAATTATGGCGGAATCCCTGAAGGATCTGAATACTATGCTCAATGACCTCAATGATGTTTCTGAACAGGTAGGTCTTAAGATGAACATGGGCAAGACTAAAGTTATGTCTAACGTCTGTGTCACACCTATATCAGTTACGACTAAAAACGCTACGCTCAAAGTTGTCGACGAGTATGTATACCTGGGACAAGTTGTCCGAATGGGTAAGTTCAACTTCGACCGAGAGGTCAATCGACGAATCCAACTTGGGCAGCATTCGAGAAACGATGTCATGATGAAAAATAAACTTATTAATCATAAATTATTTACTTGATATTTTATTATAATGCTCAATTATTACCAAATTATGCTATAGACAGTTAAAAAATATTAAGTATTAGATTATTTTATATATATATACTGTGAACTAAAAAGTAAAGAAAAATTTTACTAGATATAATGATTTGTAAGTTCTACGTATGTTTCGCCACAATGCCAATGCAATACGTGTCCTTCAGTTTTAGTCCGCCCAATCAAAAATTTTGAAGTTTTTAAGTCGATTAAACTCAATCATTATTGTTTTAACGAAACGCTTGTTTATATTATCTGTGCTATAACTCTGTTTTGACAGTGACATTAGTGACAGGGAATTAAGTTTTAATTTCACCTAATAACAGACGATTTTTAAATATTAATTTCATGTTAATTTAAACATATTAAATAGTCATTTAATTATATCCAAAATTTTCGAAAATAATTTTAATATGGAATTAATATATTCAATGAGACGTAAGCCCCTGAAATTTCCACCCCCTCATTTCGAAAAGTAAGTGTATTTTATTTTCATAATTTTTATACAAAACATTAATTGAAAGATACTTTTAATATGTTTTAACACTGATTACATATCTTTTAACTTAATATGAATTAAAAATATATTGAATATTATATATAAAGTGATTTTATCAGTTCCTTAGATTCCGGAGTAATCAGATCGATTTGCACGATATCTTCCGCCAATATCATAGCCTTTTCTTCACCAACTGAGCTGTCGGACTCTGATGGTAACACTTGGGCTGGCCATGTGTATGTTTGTGACTTGGACACACCGTGGGACAGTCACAAAGTCACAAGTACATCATATTCTGTAAGTATAGTAGTATTTATTTTGGAAAAAATCCTAATCTATATAAATGAAAATCAATTGCTGAATGTATGTACATCATGATAGAGTGGCTGCATCTATTTGGCTAGTTCTTTTTTGTAGTGTTTGTAATTTACAGGGCAAGGTAAAGTATAGGGCAAGGGCAAGTATAGGTAAAGAAAAGTGAAAGATATAAGGTAAAATATAGGGCAAGGGCAAGTATAGGTAAAGAAAAGTGAAAGATCATATGGGACAGTAAAAACTATAGGTTGAAAAATCTACATATAAAAAAGCGAAAGTAACTATAAAGGGAAGATTAGGACTCGTTTCCTTCTTAGTACACTTGTGCAAAGCATGCAGCTAGTAAACAATGGTTCTTGTTTCATGATTGAAAGGGACTGAAGTCCCTTTCCCCTGATTTAGAACTATATAACCTGACATTGTGACATTTAACCAGTAACATTTCAATATATCAGCCTTTAACTGTCCACTGCTAAACATAAACCTCTCCCTTGGGAGTTTCACCAGTAGTTGCCATGCTTGGCAAGCAGATTGGCAACCACAGTTAAGTTTTAGATTTGTAAAAGGGACATTGCTGTCTATTCCTCGGCCTTCCTTAGTTGTCTCTTACAACACCCATGAGAAAGGAAAGGATGGCCTATTCTATGCCAGGACTACACGATAGTTACTAAAGATATATTATTTATCTATGTTCTCTCTTCATCCCATATGTATATATCAAATTTCATAGTGATTGTTAATAAACAAACACATTTTCACATGTGGCTATAGGCTGGTCACATTGCTCAAAGAACTGACAACCGATGGGGAAGAAAGGTTCTTGGGTGGTGATCCTGTACAGGCTGCATTTACCTGTATAGGGTTGCCACTCAGGACTATTAAAAAAAGTAAAATAACTCCCCATTGGATGAAGGGACAACCTTACATGCATTGCACATCATTTTATACCATTGTAATGTGGGCAAGACTCTATGTCGAGGCTGTTTCGACGCCGAAGAAACGGCTGCTCAAGTAATCCTGGAATGTGAGGCTGTGGCCCATCAACGTTTAGAAATCCTCGGAATGGTGAGGTCGCTCCATGAGGTCTGTGAAGAATCCAGGAAGCTTCTGCGCTTCTAGGCGGATCTAGGTTGACTGCACTAGCCACGACTCATACGCACAACAGCCCAAATGAGAGGCTAAGTACGGAAAATAGTCTTTTTCACATTCACACAATGTGGGCAAGATATGTTTAAAAATCATACAATACTCGAAGAGTATAATAAAGTGTTCCGGGTGTTGTTGGGATTGCCTCGATTCTGCAGTGCATAAGGAATGCTTGCAGAAATGCATGTGGATTGTTTCTACACCATTATTTGTAAGTGATGAATGAATGAGTATACTTTATTTGCATTATACAATATAGGAAATAAGCAAGACAATTTACAAACACAACGATACAGTTGTATAAGTACATTAAGGTGGTCTTATTGTTGAGAGCAGTCTTTCAAGACAACCTTAAGGTAATGGACTAATTGTTGTACAAGTAGGTATTGTATAATTAAGAAAATTAACAGAATTAACAGTGATTTGTGTCACTGCTCTGCAGAGTGCGGGCCAGCCATAACTGTGTTTTTTTTATACAACTTAGAATGGCAAACAAGCTGACGGCTCACCTGATGGAAAGTGGTAACCGTCCCCTATAGACAAGAGCAGTACCATGGACATAACAGAGTATACTGTTTGCCCATGCCTCTCCATGCGTTGCCATTCCTGAGGACTCAGATGTTATTCCTCTGTACCTTTTAATTTCACGCCATATCCCACCCTTCAAATCGAAACACAGCCATGCAAACACAAATCACGGGGGGGAAGGGATTGTTAGTAATGGAGACTGAGAATCTTATTGCTAGCAATATACCCAATCAGGTTGACCTCCTCGCGGTTCCCCTGGAAACTATCATGGTTAATTCCTGATGAATTCATCATGATGGGCTAACTGGCCTATTTTCATTCTCATCTATCACCCTTCACTGGTGCTCCGCCAGCGTATCCCGTTAGCGCAGAACATTAACATTAACATACCATTTTCACCCATCAAAAAAAAACACAAATCACGGTAGAAACATGAATGGGACAGAGGTACCCAAGCAATCGACTTTTGTAGAAAGTCTAATATATTTATAATTACTATAACTTTTATTTTCAGGTATCTGCTCTAGAGTGGGATAATGAAGGCAAGCAATTGCTGGTGGCCACAACAGAGGGAGACGTGTCCGTGTACGGACAGAAGGACTACTTGCTCAACGAGTGGCAATGTTTGTACACAGCTCAGTTCCCTGGTGAGTTTTTATATTTACAAACTGTTGTATAGCAATAATTCTGTGTCAATGTTTTTCTAAAACTACCCTCACTGTTATAAATTTTTATGAAAAAAGCTATTATTATGTAGGGTACTAATAAATAGTCTGTCGTCAGTTGTAATACTTGATTCACAATAAAAACATACATACATACATATCTGTCACGCCTGTATCCCATTAGGGTAGGCAGAAACAATGGAACGCGCAAATGCTTCGATTCAAACAAACCTCTTTCGCTTCTTCCATATTCATCGATCTTTTCATACATGCTCGCCGGTTACGGGTACTTTTAATTTGGCCCTTCTTCAGCACGTCGCCTATCTTTTCCGTCTAATTTTTACAATAAAAAGTCATGATTAATTGGTGCCCTTCTTTTAGTAGCAGCACGTCGCCTATCTGGTCGACATACGACCGTCTAGGGCGGCCCCTACCGATATCTCCAATCATTCACAATAAAAAGTCATGATTAATTTGTGCTATTCCTCATTTGATATATAATACAAACTTGTAGTAGCATTGCTGAAGAAAGGTACATGAATGGCGGAATTACTAACAACTCCTTCCCCCCGGCAACTGCAGTTAGGCTTTGGTGATGTTTCAAGAGGGACAGTAATTGCAATGCATGGGAGATTTAGCCATGTTTATGTCCGGTCCCTGGTGCAGTTGATATTTGTAGGTGACGGTTAGAGATGATAGATGAAAATGAAAAGGCAGATCAGTTAGCCCACTGTGATGAATACGCCTGGAATTAGGCCACTTTACATCATTAGTTTGTATGTTATAGGAATTTGTCAAAAACATCTTAAAATGTTTTTGTTCCAGGCGAGCATATAATCAAAGCGGTATTTTTCCACAATGGCCGACGATTTGTAATGATGGACAAGAAACCTGATGCGCCCATCACGGAAAGAATACAGATGACCAGGTCCACACCTACCCTGAAGGGATTTGGGTAAGGGCTTAATTTGTATGAACTTCTGGGAGGAAGGAAAGGAGTGTTAGTGGCTGTGTTTCGGTTTGAAGGGTGAGGTATTGGGGTATGACAGTGAATTTACAAGGTACAGAGGAATAACACCTGAGTCCTCAGGAATGGCAACGCATAGGGGGGTATCATGGGCGAAACAGTATACTCTGTTATGTCCATGGTACTGCTCGTGTCTATACGCGATGGTTGCCACTTTTCATCAGGTGGGCCGTCAGCTTGTTTGCCATTCTAAGTTGCGTAGGGGATACTGAGTTAGCTCTAATGTAATATATATATGAAAACACATATGTAAAAAATTACTTAGTGCAAGTAAATTATTTGTTTTGATATATATATATATATATATATATATATATATATATATATATATATATATATATATATATATATATATATATATATATATATATATATATATATATATATATATATATATATATATAACGCGTGATGATTCTGCGAACCTAGTAATTTTTCCCCATTCCAACAAGTGCCCATAGATAAAGGAGTTTTCACTTCAAATTTTACCTTTAGGGTTTTACCTATATTTAAAACATTTATTTTGAAATAAAATAATAATTATTATTATTATTAAAAAAAAAATGTAATGCACTAATTCTGATTACTTAACATACAAATTACTGAGATCATGTCTGTGTGCCTTTTCCAGAACGGAAAAAAAAAAATTTTAATAGTTAATAGCTTTTAAAGTGCTTAAAGATTGACTAATCCAATTGCGGCAGCGGGGTGGCGTGCGAGGGCGCTGTGGTGCTGACGGCGTCGGGTCTGGTGGCGACGCTGGTGGCCGCCGACGGCCCGCGTGCGCTGCTGGCCAGCGAGCCGCTGCGCAGCCGCCACCACATCCTCTGCGCTGACCTCGCGCACAAGGGTAACCAGCTACTTGGCTTACATCATCTCATCATCATCATATCAACAGTTGTGTCTTGCGAGGATAATGGATTGTTAAAAATTAGTACCAACATTTTTTTATAGGTGAAAATGGTATGGTAACCCCGCCTGCGCTAACGGTATATGCTGGCGGAGCACCAATGAAGGGTGATAAATGAGAATGAAAAGAAGTTGGCAACTGCAGTTAGGCTTTGGTGATGTTTTAAGAGATACGTTGATGTCCATCCCTCGAGCACTAAGTTCCCTTTGTCGCCTCTTACGACACCCACGGGAAAGGAAGGGGTGGCCCATCCTATGCACACACATCCTTCTGATAATGGTCTGGTCTAATAAACCTGTGTATGTATTTTTTTGTGTTCTTGCATGTCTTCTAAAATGCCTTCTCACTCGTTGCAGCGGGTAACGTGATCGTGGCAGCCGCGGGGAAGACAGCCGTGCGATGCTACGTGTGCGCGGTGACGCGGTCGCCGGGCCGGCCGCCCGCGGCCGCGCTGCAGGTGCAACCGCTCCCCACCGTCTTCCTACCAGTAGATCACGCGCCGCCCGGTAATACTTTATATTTATAACATATTTTAAAGATGAAAATATATTTTTTGTTTGTTTTTTTTTATTATGAATAAATTTAAAACAACTCAACCAATTTTAAAAATACATTCACCTGTAGAAAGTAATATTAAAATATCGAGTAACATGGGATATATATTATTAAAAAAAAAAAAAATAGGTCCCTACTAAAATTACAGCAATGTAACCCAAGGTATTAAAATTTGCCTATTAATACAAATCGTCATCATAATCCCATTGCTAAGGAAAGGGATTGTTAAATATGGGGATTAGTAACCCTATTACTAGCAATATACCTTACCAGGTCGACCTCCTCGCGGTTGCCTCTGGAAATCATCAGTTAGCCCATCATGACAAATTCACCAATGAATCATTGGTGAATTTGTCATGATGGGCTAACTGACCTGCTTCATCTTTTAGGAGAAAGGAAATGTTAGTAATAGGATCTAACCGCCCCATTGCTATATACCCTATTGGGTCTACCTCGATGCGGTTACCCTGGAAAACATCATGGTTAATTCTAGTGGAATTCGTCATAATGGGCTAACTGATCTGCTTTTCTCCTCATCTATCATCCCTCACTGGTGCCCCACTGATAGCACAGGGGGGTTACTATTTCATTACCACCCATTAAAAAAACATATTTATTATTGGTATGTTACATTTATGTAAAAATTGCATACATGATCACCCATCCAACTAAAGTGCTTTGCTTAACCTTAATATCCCACTTTTCAATTGCAGTTTCCGTAACGTGGTGTCTCCGGGAAGATACAGATTCCCTGATGATAGCAAGCAACAAGTTGTCACTGTGGAAGCTTACGGAACGCTCGCACCCTGTACATAAGCTATTAGCTAAAGGTAAGTTATCTCTGTGTAATCGTGTAGGCTCCGGCATAGAATGGGACACCAATTCCTTTCTCGTGGATGTCGTAAGGGGCGACTAAGGGAGCTTGTTGTGGAGGGATGGGCAGTAGCATTTCTCTTAAAATATTACCAATGGCCTAATTGCGGTTGCCAATTCGCCTGTCAAGCATGGCAACTACTGGTAACCCCCGTTTCGTGTATATAAAAATTGATTTAAAGTGAATTTAGACAATTGTAACACAATCAGAGGGGAACACCGTTAAATTATTAATCTTTTCCAATATGTAATTCTTAGGTACACTGCAAGGCAGCACGACGCCCGGCGGTGGTCAGAAACAAGCATCGGACTGTTTCAATACTGTGGTGAGTTATAAACTGCATAATTTATGCAATACGTTGATTTTGTTTCATATTCATGTATAGAACAAAATACTCTTTGCTCAACAAAATTTGATGGCCTTTCAATCGTGAACACAAAAAGTACACAAATGCACGCACACACGCACGCATATACGTTCACATACTCTGGCATGTACGTATATGCACACACATCAGCACGCACGCTTGCACGGACAACGTCGAAGACCGACGAAATATTTCATAGATACTTTGCAGTGAAAACACTTGAATTGATACTTATGCGTCATGGCTCCTTGTTCTCCATTAAGAATCTTGAATAACGTTATGAAACTAGCTGGGTATCCGCAACAAAATGCTTATAACTTAATTTGGATAAATTTACAATTAATTATAATGTGTGTTTATTAAACTTTAACAGTAAAAGCCAGTATTTATTATTTCGTTTCCCCACTCTGTAGGCGTGGGTGCAGGCGGGCACGGTGGCAGTAGAAGGTCGCGCGGTGCAAGCGGCGTGCGGCCGACCGGCGCCCGCGCCGCCGCTCGCGCTGCTTGCCACAGCGCGCGCTCTACACTTGTTGGCAAGGGACTCGCATCACTACGTTAGTAACCATATTGTATCTCCCCATTCCCCCATACCATTAATAATTCTTTCCGCAGGTGTGGATGCAAGGTATATATATATATATATATATATATATATATATATATATATATATATATATATATATATATATATAACTATGATCCGCAGAGAGAAATGCAAATAATTTACGTATAGTTTACATTGATTGCTTTCATACATTTCTGTATCAATTAGTGTTGAACCGTGATTGAGTTACAAAAAATTTGTCTCAACACACTTTCATCAAAATCCTGGTCACGGCACATTTTACAACCTTGGAAAACAAGCATTCAGAATATTGTTTGACACCAACGTTATATTTAACTTAATTATTTTTACTGATTACATATTTGGACAGTATTGATACACATATCGATCCTAGCTATGTCATTACTTTTTTTTAATTAAATGATAATATGTTCTAGGTGTGTTCTCGCCAAGTAGTAACAACTGGTTCGGGAGAACCAGCGGGCGCTGCCACGCCACCCAAGAAGCCTAAATATGGGCCTGGTTTAGTAAATGTGAGTAACTATATATACATAATCTATCATGAATACATAAACTACAATATATTCATCATAGAATGTACAGAGATAAACTATACCTGGTAACTATATACTTATTCATATATATATATATATATATATATATATATATATATATATATATATATATAAAAAATATTATATATTATATATATATATATATATATATATATCAAAAATATCGAACACTTGTCAACAATAAAAAAAGGAAATGTCACAGTCAAATCATGACATGGTATTCCGCTGTCTTCAGGACGGTAACGGCGGGCAGGCGGTGGTGTCGAGCGTGCAAATATCATCCCTAGGCGGTGTGGCCGTGTGCGTGGACTCGCACGCCCAACTTCACGTGTTCCGGCTGCCGCAGCCCTGGGCCGACATACGTATGCACATAATAAGAGATAGTACATACCTGCCACTCTCAAAAAGGCAGTACAGGCATGTCTTTACATATGACTGAAGACTTCACTCGGTTTCTGATTTGAATACACATTTCTGAAGTGGATAATACTCACCCCCCCCCCCTTTTTTTCATTCTTTTATCTCTTTTACTGTGTATTATGTGTATGTTTGTATTGTAATTTGTGTACCCCACCTGAGCTATCTTCTATCATTCTATTTTCATCCATTAAATAAACATATTGTTGTTAATTAGGCTGTTTGTCCATGTTACCATTGATCTCCAACCCTAATCCTAATGTTCTTGCCCCCAGCGAGCCCAATGTCGCTGCAGCAGGCAACATCGGTCCTGGAGTACGCAATGGTGTCAGGGTATGACTGCTTGGACGTGCTGCTCACACTCAAGCCCAACATGATGGAGACAGTCTATGAGAGGTGAGTGGTGTAACCATCTGGGGAATCCGAAACTGGGTCTCAATATCAAAATCAAAGCGGAATTTTGGAATTTTTAATCTTTTTTTCAACCGACTCTAAAAAGAATGAGGTTCTCAGTTGGGTTTAATTTTGTTTGTTTGTCACCTCATAACTCTGTCAGTTGTAAACCGATATGGAAAGCTCTTTTTCTTATCTGAAAGGATAACCTTCAAGAAAAGAGCATATTCTTTTTTAAAAGGCCGGCAGCACACCTGCAATGCCGTTAGTGTTGTGGGTGATTATGGGCGGCGGTAGTCACTTGCCATCAGGTGGACCGCATGCTCGTTTGCCCCCTGTGATTTGAAAAAAAATACTTACAAATTGATCTCATGGAGGTTTTATTAAAATCGCTTTAGTAGTTTAGTTTTGAAATAAAAAAAATGGTTTTACCGTAATATAAGTTGGATTTTTCTGGGCCACAATCTTTTTATGATATTTAAAAAAGTGAAATTGTCGACCCATTTGATGGGAAATGGTTACCATCGCCTGTAAATATTAACAGCGCCGTGGTAACAGGCGAATACTTAATATACCTGTATTATTATGTCCATGGTACCCTTCAAGCAGGGAGTCAGTGGATGCAGGTGGCTCAGGACCATTCCTTATGACAGTTTATGGGACAGCCAATGTTTTTTTTTTATACTATTTAGAATGTCAAACAAGCTGACGGCCCACCTGATGGAAAGTGGTAACCATCGCCTATAGACATGAGCAGTGTCATGGACATAACAGAGTATACTATTTCGCACATGATACCCCCCATGCGTTACCATTCCTGAGGACTCAGATGTTATGCCTCTGTGCTCTGTAATTTCACGCCATATCCCACCCTTCCAACCGAAACGCAGCCATGCAAACACAACTGCTTCACGGTTGAAACACGAATGGGACAGAGGTGCCCAAGCAATCGGCTTTTGTACAAAGTCTCCCTCTGGTAGTTTCAGCAGTGGACAGATAATGGCTGTGATGATAATGACGATGACTCCTCGTGGCGGATAGTCGTAAAGGATATGAAGGGTGTCACTGTATACTCTGTTACGTCCACGGTGCTGTTCATGTCTATAGGCGACCGTTGCCAGTTACAATCAGGTGGGCCGTCGGGGTGTTGCCATTTAAAGCATGAAAAAAATTGATTAAAACTACTTGTAAATTTCTTTCTTTTTTTTTTTAGACTGACAGAGTCATTCCAGAGACAACCGCAGCACTTCCAGCAGTATTATTACCATAGTTGGCTGAAACTGAGGACCGCTTTGTGCAGGTAAATATTTTATTTTTTTTTTTTATTATAAAAATATGGTATGGTAACCCCGCCAGGGTAATCGGTATACGCTGGCGGGATACCAGTGAGAGATGATAGGTGAGGATGAAGGAAGGTCAGTCGATTTATTGTACCGAATTCACCTGGAATTAACCGACTGTGTGAAGATCGATCTGATAAGGTATATTGCTAGCAATGGGGCCACTAGTGCCAATTACTAACAATCTTTTTATCTTCCCCCCCCCCCCCCCCCCTCCAACACTTCTTTATTGTATACAAATATAGTGATAAAAACAATGTTATATATATATTTAAATTAATCTTCAATAACATTTGTATGTTAGCGTGGCAGTGTGACGGCCAAGTTCTTATAATGCGTGCTCTCTGGTGTTAATTAAACATATAGTTGTTTACTAAATGTTTTGTTTTTTACTTTTTCTTGTTATAAAAATAAATAAAATATAGTTAGTTGTTATTATGTTTTTAGTTTTCATCAATGTGTTGAAGTCTTTTGTCCGTCTTTAAAAAAAGGAGATTTTCAATTCGATTATATTTTTTTACCAATGTTTGTTACCATGATTTCGCATCAGAAGAGTATTTAATATGGTATTTGATTGTGGTTGGCCGAATTTGGTGTACGGGCAATTGGAGCATTCGTTGAGTAGATTCTAGTGTTACATGCAACAAGCGATGTAACGTAACATGTGACAAATGGTGTAATGCAACATGCAATAGGGCGGTGCCGACGTGGCAGAACGGCGCAGCGTGGCTGGCTACGGTGGGGTGGCTGCACGCGGCGGCGGCGGCCGCGGCCAGCGCCGTGCGGGACGGCGGCGGCGGCGGCGGCGGTGGTGGGGCGGGGGCGGGGGCGGGGGCGGGGGCGGGGGCGGGGGGCGGCGGCGGCGGCGCGGGCGCGGGCGGGCCCGAGGGCGGCGAGCTGGCCGCGCTGGCCGCGCTGCTCGACGACTCCGCGCCAGACGTCGCGTCCGAGAAGGTACGCTACTTACTGTCACCGGGGTGAGGCTGGGTTGGCCTACTACCAAATATCCTTATAACGCAACACCTTGGGAACGGTGCCACACGGATCCACTGTTATACATTATATTTGAATTATTTCAATTCAAGTTTAAATATTTTGTTCTATATTTTAAGGGGTTAAGGAAAAAAGATAAATTATTAGAACTATTGAGGACAGAAGGGGAAAAATGTTGGGACACTTGATACGACACGACGAACTTATGAACATTATAATAGAAGGTAAGATAGAAGGAAGGAGGGGGAGAGGGAGACCGAGGCATAGTTACATCAGGCAGATCAAGGAAGGAGTCGGTGTCGTGTCGTATCAAGTGGTGAAGAGACTCGCTGAAAATCGCAGTGAGTGGCAAGAGCTCCACCGACAAGAGAGCAGCTCTTAAATAGGATAGATAGATAGACATATTTTAAAGTCAAATATTAAAATAATATTTTTTTGTTGATAACTTTAGTAGACTAACTTGGCACCGTTTTTACTGTTACAATTTTAAAATAGCGGAATATATTATTATTGTACACCGAAATGATTATTTAGATCATTTTTATATGTATTATGAATAAAATTTAATATTTTTCATTGATAAACACATTTAATATGATACACTCATGTTTTTGTTATTTCTAAATAGAAAAAAAAAATAGAATGATGTTGGCTATAAAATTTTTTTTTTTTCTAAATCAATTAGTGATAAATATTATTATCAGAGAAAAATAATACTAGAAACATAAGTGAAGTCACATCCTTGAATTTTTTAACTACACAAAACGTAGTCAATGTGCCTAGTTCTTTGGACTTGGCCACCTCACTGCCCTGTACAAGTGTTCTCTCTTATATAAATTTTTACCAGGAGGAGACTTTGTACAAAAGTCGATTGCTTGGGTACCTCTGCCCTATTCGTGTTTCAACCGTAAAGCAGTTGTGTTTGCATGGCTGTGTTTCGGTTTGAATGGTGGGATGTGGCGTGAATTTACTGGGTACAGAGGAATAACACCTGAGTCCTCAGGAATGGCAACGCATGGGGAGTATCGTGGGTGAAACAGTATACTCTGTTATGTTCACGGTACTGTTCATGTCTACAGGCGACGGTTACCACTTTCCATCAGGTGGACCGTCAGCTCGTTTGCCATTCTAAGTTGTACAAAAAAAAGTGTATTTTTACGCAAAAAAATGCAAAAATTATAAGACAAAATAAATATAGAAGTTATAAAGGAATCACACATAACTGTTTATCACGCAAAATTGTATGAAAAAGTTGACTCGTTTTTCTCGAAGCATTTGTATGAAGATACTTTATCCATATAATCTAAGCGTTACAGTTATCACAAAAATATATTTAGGGAGGATTTGGTGTTAACAGGTATATACCGTTTGAGTGCCACGAGCGTCATAGCGCTCGTGAAATCAGTCGCTGTTTAGCTCGATGTAGAAAAATTATTAAAATTTGGATAAAATTACTTTCTCACTGTACTGGATCGACTGGAAGAGATCTCTTTCAGAGATAAGTGCACACTTGCTCACAACATTTATAAATGCATTATTTTATATGTAACTTACAAGTGCAATAAAGAATATATATATATATATATATATATATATATATATATATATATATATATATATATATATAAAAAATTTGAAGGAGATACAGGTTTTTTTTTAGAGATAACGGTAAATGACGTCAACACGACAAAGATTTCTTTATCATTGTTAAGTAAATATGAGTAAAAATCAATTGTAGTTGTAGTAAAACAGTTAACATTGCAAGGTTGTTGCAAGGCAGTATTACGACTGTGGTTCTGTGCGCAGCTGCTGGCGGGCGTGGAGGCGGGCGGCGAGGCGGCGCCGCTGCCGGCGCTGCGGCGGCCGCTGCAGCGCGCGCTCGACGCCGCCGTCACGGCGCTGGCCGCGCTGCCGCACCACCACCACCACCACGCGCACGGGTCGGTACCGGTACCCTTCACTCATCACTTCATACCATTCGCCAGTTCATTCAATTGTCAATTCATTCGTTCGTCAGTTCATTCATTCGCCAATTCATTCGTTCGTCAGTTCATTCGTTCGCCAATTCATTCGTTCGTCAGTTCATTCGTTCGCCAATTCATTCGTTCGTCAGTTCATTCGTTCGCCAATTCATTCGTTCGTCAGTTCATTCATTCGCCAATTCATTCGTTCGTCAGTTCATTCGTTCGTCAATTCATTCATTCGTCAGTTCATTCGTTCGTCAATTCATTCATTCGTCAGTTCATTCGTTCGTCAATTCATTCATTCGTCAGTTCATTCGTTCGTCAATTCATTCATTCGTCAGTTCATTCGTTCGTCAATTCATTCATTCGTCAGTTCATTCGTTCGTCAATTCATTCATTCGTCAGTTCATTCATTTTATTTTTTAGAATTTTTGTCCGTTTGTCTATACGTTTGTGCGCGCCAATCTCAGAAATGGCCTAACCAATTAGAACGCGGTTTTCAATAATGCGTTGCGGTTTGCTCCACTTAGCATTTAGTGTTTGTTTTATTTGAATCGGTTCATAAATAAAAAAGTTATACCAATCTAAAGAGTCACATATAAAATGCTATAAAATAACCGATCAGTTGAATTGGCTGAAATTTTATGAAGGTATTAGGTACGTAATTATCATTTAAGTATATAATACAATATAAGACCGGACTCACGGAGAGTTCCAATGAATGATATACGGGAAGTACATAGTTAGAAGCGGGCAACGCTGCGGGAAATGACTAGTTTTGAATAATAATGATTGATAATGAATCGCGCAGGTACGACATACTAACGGACCCATCGGCGCTGTGCCTCCTCCGCAAGCTGGTGGTGGTGGCCCGCGGCGGCGAAGCACTCAGCAGGCCGCTAGCACGCCTCGCCACCGCCGCGCAGCCCAAGCAGGACCTCCTCGGTAAGCCCGCATCCTCGTCTCCACTGGCGCTGCTCACCTGATGGGAAGTGGTAACCGTCGCCTATACACATGGGCAGTACCATGGACATAATAGACTATACTGTTTCGCCCATGATACCCCCTCAATTATAATGCCACATCTCACCCTTCAAACCAAAGCACAGTAATGTGAGTCCGCTTCATTGTGAAACAAAAACCTGGCTTCTGTTTAGCAATTAGTGGTAGTACATGTTTATGGGAGAGAAAGGGATTGTTAGTAATGGGGTATAGCTGACCCTAGCAAGCTAGCAATATACCCTGTCAGGTCCACCTCCACGCGGTTCCCCCTGGAAACCATCATGGTTAATTCTAGTGGACTAACTGACCTGCTTCATCCTCACCTATCACCCCTCACTGGTGCCCCATCAGTGTATACCGATAGCGCAGGCGGGGTTACCATTCCATTATCACCCATTTTTTTTTTGTTCACTCCTATTTTTGTTGCTTTGTGTGCAGCGCCTTGTATCTATATTGTTGCCACTTGTGAAAACCTATTAGTGGCTTATTTTGTGATCCTAAACTGTATCTTTTTGCTCTAGTGTAGCCCTGGTTTTGCTGTGAATAAATAAATAAATTAATTAATTAAAAAAGTACATGTTTATAGGAATCGAACCCTTGGTTGTTGGTAACATTCGTGCATTGTACAGACGAGTGCGCGGCGCTGTGTGCTCAGCGAGGCGGCGCACGCGTGTGGGACGCGTTACCGCGTTGTGCCGTTTCAGCCCCCCATCAACGACCCTGGCCGCTGCACGTGAGTACATCACCATCATTTTTTTTATTTCAGCCATTAACTGCCCACTGCTGAATATAAACCCCATAAAGGGGATTTTGCCAGTAGTTGCCACGTTTAGCAGGCGGGTTGGCAACCGCAGTTAGGTTTTTTGAGATGTTTTAAGAGGGACCCTGCAGCCCATCCCTCCCTTAGTCGCGTCTTACAATACCCACCCAAAGGAATTGAATATATATATGAACATTGATTCTTCAGTCTCCTCAAATACACTCCACAATTGTCTATACTTTCTTTCTCAATATTGATCCAAGTTACTCTTCTTCACGTATATTCTCGTCTTACCCATTTTGTTTTCCCATCTCTTGAATACGAGTCCATAATATTATTAGTCCATTTCTCTTTCTTGTTTCTCATTGCATGTCCTGTCCATTTCTATTTCAGTTTTTAATTTTTTGATTGTTGAAAATGCATCTGTCATTTAAATTTTTTCTCTTATGTTAGTCTAATCTTGTCTCTGATATTGTCTAAGATGCTTATATATACAAAATGCGCAGGAAAACATAAAAGAAAATGGTCTGACTATGAACGCATTTAATTTTTTAATAAAAATGAGTATGTCACCGTAACTTATTTGGTAGTATATTTAAAATTATTCTTGAATATGAAATACAAAAAATTAACAGTTAAATAATAATCAAGTAATTCATATTTACTAGAAATTAATTTTTCCATATACTCAATGCTTTTAATTCACCATTATAATTTTAACCTTAAAGATTTGAAATTTCGCGCCAATGTGAACTTCAACTTTTTTCGGACCGTTTTTAGTGATGTCAGTATGTCTCGATTAAGAAATATTGATTGTGTTTACAGTTAGAGTATGGCGTCGAACCGGAAGCTTTACGTTATAACCCTGAACCCCCTGCATATGCACAGGGTGACACCACACCATCGACAAATATGGACTCTATTAGGTATGTTTATATTTATTCGTCCTTAAATTATTGTTTATACGTCTGATTTATAGATACATTTGTTTAATTTCGACTAACATATCTAGGCTATACATATAGATTTCGATTGATCAAATTTTACAGTTTATATGAAAATTTAAAAATAAATATTACATTTTACTTCTGATGGTCAGTAAAATTTGTTTATCTCCATGTGTATCTAAATACTTTGCGTGTTAAATCTTCTCAATTTATTCATGTTAAAGTATGTACAGCAAAAATTTTACCACAAACCCGACAATATTATTAGTAAACCCAATAAAATATAGACGGCCTAATTGTGATTTTCATAGTATAATGAATGTATTTGAGCTCGGTGTCTCGGTGGCGCAATCGATTGATTACGTGCCCGTGGTAGTGTCTGTAGTAGAGCGGCTCGTGCGCAGGTACATGTACCTGGGCGGCGGGCGGCGCGCGGCCCGCTGGCGCGCGTGCGCGCGGTGCGGCGCGCGCGCGCTGGCGCCGGCGCTGCCCGCGCGGCCCGCGCTGCAGCGCGCACACGACGCGCGCTTCCTGCCCGCCTGCAGGTACGCCCTCCACCTAACCTAGCGGGAGGAAAGGGACTGTTAGTAATGGACACCGAGAATCCCATTGCTAGCAATATATCCAACCATCTTCACCTCCTCGCGGTTCCCCCTCGAAACTATCATGGTTAATTCCTGATGAGTTCATCATGATGGGCTAACTGGCCTGTTTTCATTCTCATCTATCACCCTTCACTGGTGCTCCGGCAATGTATCCCGTTCGCGTGGGCGAGGTTACCATTCCATTTTTACCCATCAATACCTAACCTAGTAGATTATTTTACTGAGTTGGATGTTGTGCAAAAGGCCATACCATTAGTTAGCTATATACGTGTGACTGCAAACATTTGAGGATTGACTACTATTGGTAAAGATTAAATGTTGAAAATCAAATGTACAAATGGTATCGGATTTAAACAGAATAATTCTAATCGAGAAACCGATCATAGTAAAATTGCCGCGATGCTTTGTCATTGTGTATCATTACAATATACAAGTATTTTTCGTTCTATCTTTACCCATTTAAAGCAAATTTTTAGTGTAAGTGACAATTGATATTTTGACAGTAATCTTATATTTTGTTATACACCATACTATGACAAAACAAACAATCTTGTATTATATAATCAATTAATAACGGGCAACACCCACTGTATCAAACTAATCGTGATTTTTTTTGTTTTTTTATTTTATTTTTGTGTTGATGTGGAGTTGGAACTTCTTACACTGGTATACATTTCTACTATTAACATATTGTGTATTTAAACATTTCTTTTTGTTTTCAGATGTGGTGGGAAGTGGACTCTATTCTCTAATGTATAAGAATAATATTTTAGATGCATTTTGTAAATAATAAAAAAGTATTTTATAATTAATAAAATTTTGTTTCATTTCACATGCTCGTTATATTTTTTTTGATGGTTGAAAATGGTATGGTAACCCCGCCTACGCTAACAGGATACGCTGGCGGAGCACCAGTGAAGGGTGATAGATGAGAATGAAAACAGGCCATTTAACCCATCATGATGAACTCATCAGGAATCAACCATGATAGTTTCCAGGAAGAACCGCGAGGAGGTCGACCTGGTTTAGTATATTGCTAGCAATGGGATTCTCAGTCTCCATTACTAACAATCCCTTTCCCCCTGCTCGTTATATTAGTTATGTATACTATTTATAGTTTTATTTTAATATATATTTATCCATTAGAAATTATAAGACAATTAATTCTAGTGAAAATAAGTGAAAGAATTAAGTACGTGACGTCTAAACCAACATAATAAATAGAGAGACCATTTTTCGTTTGTAATAAATAAATTTATAGTTTCTTAATATTTTTTTTAAATCACCTATACAAAACTACAATATCAGTAAAAAACACGAGCTTTATTAAAAAAAAAAAAACATGTGATGTCAAGCCGGTCATTAGTGATATAAATTTCACACCAAATTCTCTAGATGAAAGTTGTAAATAGTTTACTAATTCAAATTAATTTCAAGTATTTTCAACATTCAATATCGGTGGGTGTAAACCTACTCGGATGACAGTCTTCTTTTGTTCATGAATTGATAAGCCATTACAAATTATTAAAACGATATAGCTTAAAAATCAATTAATAACTTTAAATATAAAAAGTAATTTATTTATTTTATTTTATATTAATGTTTCAATATGAATTTGATATCTTGTATAGATTCTCTAGATTATACAACACAATCGAGAAAGAAGAGCATCACTAGTCAGTTGCGACAATCGTTCGTTACGAAGCGTTGTTTCTGCGACTGCGTTGTAATCCTTTTTGTATTATACACTGTTTCCGTGAAAAATAATCGCAACGAGATTAACTCGAATATTTTTTATAATAAATAATTTGTAGTTTTGTAAATGGCCGATAAAAAAGGTATTTATGCGCTTGTTTTTATTATTTTCTTTGTTCTTTTATAAGAAAATGTTGACATGTGTAACGTCATTGGGGACCTTGGTTTGGCTGTTTTTACTTGTTATTTAGATTTACCTGGGTCCCATTCTCGTGATAAGTATTGGATAGAATCGGATAAAGCGTGATAAATTTAATTGCGATGTATTATTTTGCTGATTCGCTATAGATCGATATCAGGCTAAAATTCCAAGATGGTTGACTATTGTAATTTCTAGGCGGGATATTTTCGCTAAATTTAGTGGCAAATCGTTTGATTCATTCATTTAATAGGCTTATTTTGATCAAATACACATTGAATTTACTATATATCTATGTTACGGATTCATATTGTAACATTTTGAATCGATTTATTTTACTTGTTATTTTATATAGTATCTACCTACATTTTACTACTACGTAGACACAATTTGAGTAAAATCTATAAAAACCACTTGATTAATCGAATAATCTAGGAATAATTAGTTTCTATACATACGTTAAATCTCAGAATTGAATTCTCCAAAAGTGGGTCAATCCATACCTACTGACATAACAACTAATAAATCAACTGTTTAAATGTTTACGTCTTAGATTTACGTATATCCAAATAGTTAAATAATAAATCAATATTAATTTCGTGAAGGTGCATTTAGACAATGCAAGTAAAGTCTAATTCTTCTGCTACTATTGCAAGTTTTGCTTAATATAAACATGCTAAGCTCACTCTGTTTTTACTTGATTGTATTAAGAGAAACGTAAGATATTAATTATCAGATAAAGAACTACCATCAATGTATTTATTAACTATTAAATTAAATGCAGAATTGCATAAGTTTAATTACATTTTGAAAATGTCATCCATAGACAAATGTTCCTCGTCTGTGCTAGTCCTTAGTCTAAAACTGAAAAATAGATTTTACTCTTATACTTGCTTACTTCTAGTAAAAAAAATCATAATTATATACCCATTTAGTGCTTTATTATTAAAAAAAAATCATATCACTCAGAATTATTAATAAAATAATAATCCATATGCTGAAAAATGGTAAATGTCACCTATAGATATGAACAGTGCCATTGATCTCACAATTAGTGTATTCTTTGAGACATTCATCCATTCTTATTCCTGAGCACTATGGCATTATGTCCTTGAACCTCATTATTTCACTGCAACATCCCATCGTTCAAACTATAATTGCATTGCAATATTTGCTTCATAGATGAAACAAGTGAGAGACAATTGCTGCTGGATACTTTTCTATAGAATGTATGGACATAATTAATTCTCTATAGGGAATACCATATGTTTATAGTTATATATTTACTACAATGATTAGGTTTGTCACTTGAAATAGTTATTAATTTATATTTTAATATAAAAACCCACAACTTTGTTACACAATATTGAATTATAACACTGCAGTTATGCTTTAAATAATTTGTTTTTACTGGTTTAATTTAAATAGAATTATTTTGTTTAATTCCATTACTGTTAGCATGAGTGTGGTTATCAACATTAGACAATTGACTACTGTTATTTATATCCTTATTTATGGGGGTGAGTTTAAGGTGAAATATGTGTTGTAAAAGGTGCATGAATAAAATGATAGTTGGAGATTAACAGCTAATATGGAAGGTTGTGGAACATCTAGTAGTAACAGTGGTGGTCAATCTTGGAGTGTTGACAGTCACGCACATGCTAATTGTAGCGGAATTAAATAAAATAATTGTAATCAAATAACCAGTGATATGGACTTCAGCAAAATAACACCTAGTTCAGTTAAATATTGACTTTTTTTTAATTAAATTAGTTTATTTTGCTAATAGCCTAGTTTTGTAGATGGGATACCCTTATCTTGTGAGAAAACTTGATTTCACATACTTGTTAGCAAAGTCTGGAGTACAATTCTCACATTTATTGGTCCAACAAAGCATTAAATCAAGGAGCTTATGCAAATCTGCCACTGTGCCATGGTATTTCTTTAATTTAAAACTAATATTTTTTTTAATGAATGAAAATGGAATGGTAACTCCTCCTGTGTTTATGGTACATACAGGTGGGACACCATTGAGTGATAAAGAGGCAAATATGCAAATTTTCCAATTTATTCCAGCAGTTAACTTTCCACTCCTGAACAGAAACCTCCTCACAAGGGAGTTTTGCTAGTAGCCATGTGGCTTGGCAACCGTAGTTAGGCTTTTAGAGATGTTTTAAGAGGGATGCTGTTGTCCATCCCTCTAATATTAAGTTCTTTCAGTTGCCTCTTATGGCACCCATTGGAAAGGAAGGAGTGGTCTTTTTATACCAGGATGATACCCCGGTTAGGGGGAAAAGGGATTGTTAGTAATAGAGACTGAAATCCCATTGCTAACAATATACCCAACTAGGTTGACCTCCATACGGTTCTCCCTGGAAACTATCATGGTTAATTCCTGATGAATTCATCATGATGGGCTAACTGACCTGTTTTCATTCACATCGATCACCCTTCACTGGTGCTCCGCCAGCATATCCTGTTAGCGCAGGCGGGGTTACCATACCATTTTCATCCAAGAAAAAAAAAAGATACCGCGGTTAAGTGTATTTTGATTTTATTCATTATAAACAAATAAATTTATACTCTTTATAATATTAATTTAGAAATTTATTTATTAACAGGATTTAGTCTCGAGTGCTATTTGCATCTCATAACATTATGCTAATAAAACTAAACAAAACATGACGTCAGCCCGTACAAAACACATTGTACAGCCTTGATGCGTTACACATGTCAAACGCTGCTTTACTATGAATTAGTTGGGAATTCTGTTTATTACTCGAAAATGAAACTATAGACTGGATTTCATTATGTTTATTTTTCAATAGCATCTATAAAGAAGTATAAGGTCCTATACAGATTTACAATGTGTCCCCTACAGTGGCGCAACGACGTCTACTAAGCTATTCCACGGTCCGTATACACTCGCCTTTACTTACGTTAGGGTCAGCGCAGACCGACCGTAAATCGGTCGACGTGTCGACTAAAAAGGTCGATTCCAAGCTACATAGAAAAAAAAATATTTCGCTATATGAAATTCAACCTTATACTCAGGTTGTTAAAGTCTATTTTCATATGAGAAAAAATTACTTAACTATTTTAACTATAAACACGTTTTGTTCCACATATATTAAGGATTTATCGTAAAATACAAAACGGTGATAGTTAAAATAGGTTTGCTACCACGTTTTGTGTGTAAAATAGAGGAATTGTCGGTGGGCGCTGTCGCTAAGCGCGCTCGGGCGTTGTCGTGTTCGCGGTAGGGTTGCCGCTACGTTCGTTGCTCGACTGTATGTGTTGTAAAACTGGTGCTATGTGCAGACAATTGGTATTCTGATGATAATATAACGTTACCCACACCCTGCCCCCCTCCCAGCGTCCGCGCCCCCTCCACAGGAGCCGCGCCTGCGCCGCAGTCCTCGCGCTGCTGTCGACTAATCGCTCATGTAATGACACCATTATAGAATTTTTCTTTTATTTTTTTTTCTTTTTGGAAACATAGTAAAGAGAGACAATATGATATGTGCGTAACGGAGTGTGGACTACCATATGTGTTATTATGATGTATAACTAGCGTGGTGGCTTGATTGCTTATTATATTTATGTTTGCAAATCGCCGTGTCTTGATAGTCCCTTATGGACTCCAGCGATACAGGTTCGCCTAGTGCGAGTTCCAATGGACTCGCGTTGTAAATTTCTTGTGTTTAATAAGTAAATAAAATAAAAAATTAAATACATAGTTTCACTAGTATATATAGTTACGAGCCCCGGCTTCGCGCGGGTTTTTGAAAATAAAATACTACCTATGTTATCCACTGAATGTTCCCCTTTAAGTTTTCACATGTTTTCTAACTGCATTGGCTTGACTTGAAGAGATCTCTATTATTTATATGTTTTATATATATATTTTTTTTAAATGTCTAAATATGGAATGGTAACTCCACCTGCGCTATCTGTATAGACTTTTTACAAAAGTCGATTGCTTGGGTACCTCTGTCCTATTCGTGTTTCAACCATGAAGCAGCTGTTCGCATGGTTGTGTTTCGGTTTGAAGGGTGGGATATGGCGTGAATTTACAGGGTACAGAGGAATAACACCTGAGTCCTCAGGAATGGCAACGCATGGGGGTTTCATGGGCGAAAAAGTATACTCTGTTATGTCCACGGTACTGCTCAAATCTATCTATTGGCGACGGTTACCACTTTCCATCAAGTGGGCCGTCAACTTGTTCGCCATTCTAAGTTGTATAAAAAAAAAAGTATGATCTCCCAATAATATCATGAACTGATTGACTTACTATTGTTTTTAATTAAACAAAAAAATATCCCACTTACATCAATAAAGTCGAGATAAGATATGTATAATAAATAATGGATCTTTAATAAACAAATGTTCTAAAGTTACAAAAAAAAAAAAACAGACTGTTTATATAAGAAGCAGTAAAATTATATAATTGTTACTATTGTACATATATTTTGACTGTGGCGGCCATATTTACAGAATATCTGAGTTATTTAGAAGTTTTTGGTAGAAGATTGAAGTTTTGTTTTTAATTGTTTTTTTTTTTTGTACAACTTAGAATAGCAAACAAGATGACGGCCCACCTGATGTATGTTCTATGTATATAATAAATTTATATATATTTATTTTTGCTGCATATTTATGTATAAAGGCTCGTTGTCTTTGTCGTTCGGGTTCCCGGGATTGTATTCCCTAGACATTATTTTCGGCTATATGGTATTTTTTTTTAATGGGTGACAATGACATGGTAAGCTCGCCTGCACTATCGGCATACGCTGGCGAAACACTAGGGAGGGATGATAGGTGACGATGGAAGCAGGTCAGTTAGCCCATCGTGATGAATTCCACTAGAACTAATCACGATGGTTTCCCGGGGGAACCAAGTGGAGGTTGACCTGATAGGGTGGGTGTACTGCTAGCAAT